ATGTTGGCGATGAGCTATTTATAACAATTATAGCTTCATTGCAATTAATATCAAATATTATAATTTGGTCAGCATCTAATTCATCTCTGTAACCTTTTACATCAGAGTTAGTGTTTTGGGCTTTAAATATTACATAAAAGAGGTCAAGTATGGAAGAAATGGTTCTGTAAATACCAGGTAATCTTTAGTTTCAGCAGCAATTAAGACCTTTAAAAACACAAGCATATGTTAAGTTACATATCTACGATGATTATCCAAACAGATACAAAAAATATTAAATAACTTTGCATGCTACCCTATAAAAATGTCAACGAGCTATAACGCCTTTATGTCCCACGGCTTAAACAAAAATATAAATAATACAGAAGATAATATAATCTTTCGTAGTCACAAATTTAACTAACGAATTTATTTAACTCAAACTTTAGTCTACTTGAAGTTGAATCACTAATTAGTTGTTTAAACGGCCCGGTTATACGATTGTTATTTTGTCCTTCAAATCTTAGTTTTTCAACCTAATGGATCTTCTTGACACTTTTATGACTCCTCAGAGTAAACGAAAAAGCCATCTGATGGTAACTCGCTTGGATGTGTCTTTATGTCCTGATTATTCATTTGAGATTTTGTCACCTCCAAATACAGCAAGGAAAAAGCATTTGGTAATCGTCTTTAGCCATTCTTATAATTTTAGCTGCTATATGTTATTTTTCCTTACTCTATCCCTCTAACATCCTTCTCATTATGTCCTTATGAACTGATAGAAAAGTTAACCTTTTTGCATCCCAAATAAACTTATGTATATGTTGATTTCACATTATAAAGTTCATTTTATTTTTTATTTTAGAAACGAATGACTGAGTTTCTTGAAAATTTACCAGTGAAAAAAATTAAGATTGATCCTCCAGACACCCACGACTTGGAAAACTTCCCTACTGAAGCCTTGGTAGAAAAGCTTGCCCACCAGAACTATCCCATCAAAAGTCATCCTGGCATTTATTTTAACCAGAAGGTCGCTCCATCACTTCTTTTATTCTAATTATTTCAGACTCCTACACGTACCCTTCCTAAGCCATTCAGTTTTCATCATCGTGAGATTGCTTTGTTGGAAGCTAAGAAAAGACGTGGAGAGGGAGTTGATCGTCAAATACTAGCGATGGCGAATTCTTTTCACGCACAACCGATGCCAAAAGTATCTAAAGTTTCTCTACCTTCAAAAAAAATTCATATCCCCGTTGTACCAAAGCCTTTTAAGTTTGAAACGGATCAAAGGATTATCCAGTTATCTAAACGAAGAGAGGTATTTTGTCTATTCCCCTAACATCCCTTGCTCAATCGTGAATAATATTTTATCCTGCCTATAAGTCACAAATATTAAGACCTGATTTTTTCTGCATGCCTATCAATGTAATTATTTTAAAAAATTTAGCTCGCGGATAAGCAAGGACTTTCTCCCTCCTCAACGTGCTCTTCGAGTTCTAATCAGTTTCAATTTGCACTGAAGATTCGGTCACTTCAATCTTCTTCCAGAAAAAAGCTCACAGTCCCTCGAGCCTTTAACCTTAAAACAGCATCTCGAGCACTTGAGCGTGCAAAATTCGATGCAAATTCGTCAACTTTCGCTGAAAAAAAAAGAACTTTGGCTAAAAATGGACGTTTCGGCAATGAAAATAAGCAACCTTGAAGTCACCTTACCTTTTATAAGCTTATTTCTTCGCTTACCTAAAACCAGCTAACCTGTTTATAAGTGTCTACAAGTCCATGATTTACATAATATAATTTTATAAACGTGCTATTTCTATTCTCGATTTTTTTCAATTCTTTAAATTATATGAACTCAAATATATAATTGCATCATTCCGCCCTTATCCATTCAGTCCGTGCTAAGGTTTACAGTGCACACCAAACCGACAAAATATTTATTACAAAGGGTTTCTTTAGACAAAGACAAATTTAAGAATTAAGGCAAAAATATATTTTGATGTCAGACACAAGTACTGGATCCCTTGTGAACTGGGCGCTTTACAAAGTTGGGTGATTTGGGCTTTGTGAGTGGAGGCTTTGTTCCGGATATGTCGACGTTCTTGTACTTTCTTATAGGTTCTGGTCGGTGGACAGATGCATTGCGCTTTATTCTCAGAAGTTTTGCTTCTTCCTTTCCTTTAATCAAGGAAACTGCCTTTACCTCAGCTTCCTTTTGACTATTAATAGTTGATACTCGGATATCAAAAGCTGCACGTTCATGAGCTCTGTGCCTAGTCATTAATTCAAACTCTTGGGGTAGCGTCGGCTCTTTTTTAGAGGGCTGCGGCTCAAATGGACGTGAATATAGCACGCGGTGGAGTTGGTTATCCGAGATACTATTTATCGATGAGGACGAAGAATCAGGTTGAAATGTTTCACTCTGAAAGAGAGTATATATTATATTAAACGAAGTTTGGCATTACCTTGCTAACTGTATTTAAGGGCATTTATTTTCTGTACATAGGTTTATATAAAAGCTTCGAAACTACCAGCAATAACTATTTCTTAAGGCTACTTAATCTGTTTTTCGTATGTTAGTAGAGTTTCTAGATTGCCAGTAAATTAGTAATATGAGATGCATTCATTTTATTCCGTTTAAATTGGGACTGTCGATGAAGCGAACGTATCTTTCTATAACAATCGACTACATCTCATAAAATTTTTATTACTAGAAATTATGAAGACCAAGGTGGTGTGGCCTTATTTTTTGTGGTCGCAGTCTCCTTCCGTTTTATAGTAGTTGTTTGACCTTTTTTTCGCAACTTGATCATATTGCTAGGAAGACTTATAGGAACGCACCTTGTCCTGAGTCCATTATATGCATTATTATTTCCAAAGTCGGACCGTGGACGCGGTACATTCCCAAACTTTTCACCGGCATCGTCAGTGAGTCTCGTCATTCGTAGCACCATATTACATCTCGTCAAATGGACAAGTGAACCTCATCCTTTGACCAAGCGTGTGCTAAACAGTTATGGTATCTCGCCTTCTGCCCTGGCCTATTCACATTTCCTATGTCCTTCTATCATGCCTTCCCTGTTAAAGTCTTTACCGTGTTTATTCCTAATGTAGTGTTGTGCCCCTTCGAGCGGCATTCATAAAAACCTTTCACACTCCACACTGTCGTTATCACCCCATTGACCCTTGTAATGGGAATGTTGACCAGAGTCTGTCATATTGTTACGTAGCCCTTGCCTGGGTCCTATCAAAGTCTCCCTCTTGCCCCGTCGAATCCGTCTGCTATCTTCCTGGTGCATGTATTTCCCTCGACCCCCTATCTGTGCTACTCGACACGTAATTCGTCCATCACTTGCACCTGGGTGACTAGTTCGGGGCTCAAGCCTCAGAGTAAGTT